TATACATACATCTTTTTGAGCAATGACCTTGTGACTAGCTTGTTTACTACTATAAGGATCCATCAGTTGCCAGCAGACAGAAATATGTGATATATGTGAATGCAGTGATTTGGGGCCATCATCTTAGCCTTCCAGGACCTCCCGTCCCCCTTCCCTCCAAGCTGTCAGCACCTTCGGCTGTGTACTGTCTTCTTGGACACCTCGGATGGAGACTCCTCCAGCAGTTTCATGGGGCAGTGGTATGTTCTGTAGCTAGCCAATAAATCCCTATCCAGGGGCTTGAGCAACTCCCTGGCTATGTTCAGTGTCTGACAGAGGAGCAGTGGGTGTGGGAGGAGGCTCATAAATCACCATCTCCAGGGGAGGGAATTGGACTCAGGAGTCCCAAACAAGGTTGCCCAGAGATCACCATCCTGGGAGCTCCAGTCATCTGTGCTGTGCTTGTTGCCTTGAGGACTGAAGGGGTCCACTTCTACTTGACCCATTGGAGTCCAGTGTCTGTCTCCCACTATGTGCCATTGTACCTATATCTGGTGGGAAGCTCTGGACTGGTGATTGGTTTATTTAGGAAAGAGAAACAAAATTTTAATATATTTTAGGAAGAAGTCAAAATAGGTATAATTTTGGAAATATGGTCTATCCTAGCCCCTGATTGATGATAGGATTCCCAATCTAAAATGTGACAATTTAGGAGTCGACCTTGGAAATTAGATAAATGGCTTTGGTTTAGCATGAAAGGAAGTTGGAAGCCTGGGTTGTTTTTCTATTTTTGCCATTAGCTAACTGTGACCACCTTTACTTGTTTTGCTTTCATGGGAGTTGAAATTATTTAAAATGCACTTCAAGTGCCATTTTTCCCATTTGCTGATTCCTCCTACTAGATAATACCCTTTTCTCTGTTGGGAGAAATGGCTTATCGTGTACTTTTCTTATGGCATTTGTTATATTCTTTCTTGGACTATGGTTTTTTGTATGAATTTATTTTATGTCCTCTTTCCAGTTTATACAGTTTTTTATGTATATCTTTTTTTTTTTTTTTTTTTTTTTTTACAGTTGTGAAGTGATTTTAGTTTATCTGGTTTGAAGGTGCAGAAAAATAACTTTTTAAGGAAAAAAATTGCCTACCATAATTAGCAAACACATATAAGCTATTTTGCTTAACCCTCTTTCAGGAAGAACTTTGAGACTAAAGTTTAGTTTGGACTAAACACGGAAAAGGCACACCTGTAATACATGAAAAAACAGGTTGCATTCAATTCTGTGTATTCAATTCTGAAGAAATGTTTCCACCTTCCATTGGATCATTGAGCAGAGAATCTGGGTTGCAAATTTTGCAGTCAGGTTCATGGAATGGTGTAATGGAGGAATTGATTGTAACTCAGTTTTCTTCCTGATTGTGTCATTAACCATCACCAGTTGGTTATTTAAAACATTAAACCTGAATATGGCGACTTAGTTCATTTTAATACGACCATGTGACTGGATTGTAAAAACTTACTGAGAGTAACTTGTTGAGTAAGACTCCCTCCACGTTCTGTGTGGAGTAGGGTTCGGTATCTGAAAGAGGAGCCGCACAACAAATGAGAGAAAAAGACACGAGATAATTTTGCAATATTGGGGGACCAGGCGGCAAGCCCCGAAGGACTTCCTGCGTGCTCAGGCCTCACCAAGCTTTTATTGATCTGGGATGCACCCATAGCATAGCCTTTAGGCAGGTGACCCCCTCGTAACAAGCAGACTAGCCCATCAGCAAGGATTTACATAATAATAAATGGGGGAGTAGTTTCAGCTACCACTGTCTGGACAAACAGAGGTGGTGCCTAGCTCCGAGCTTTGCTAGGGCTTCAAAGGCACCCAGCCTTCGGGGGGTTTTGGGGAGTTCTCTGTCTATGCTTATCAGATAGTGAAGGCAATAAACAGTTTCCCACATAACTGAGCTACTTCTTCAGATCAAGGCATTTAATTTTTTTTTTTTAATTAAAGGGTTTGAGAACAAAGGCTTTATCAGATCCTCATTGCTTCACAAGAGCCTTTGTTACTAATGTGACATGATCCTGGGACACACTGAATTAGTAGAACTGCAATGGGAAACTATGCTCATTTGTTTAGCGACGTGCAGGCCTGCCCATCAGAGTGGGACAGGAGGACTGAGCAGAGGACACTGGTAGACTACACCTCCTTCCATTGCACCTGCCCTGACACCAGCAGAATCACTGATGGTGACTACTGGTGGAAACAGAGACAGTTTCAGAAAAGAAATACAGATTTTGCCGAAACCGGCTTGGCTCAGTGGATAGAGCGTTGGCCTGCGGACTGAAAGGTCCCAGGTTTGATTACGGTCAAGGGCATGTACCTGGGTTGCGGGCACATCCCCAGTGGGAAATGTGCAGGAGGCAGCTGATCGATGTTTCTCTCTCATCGATGTTTCTAACTCTCTATCTCTCTCCCTTCCTCTCTGTAAAAAATCAATAAAATATATTAAAAAAAAAAAGAAATACAGATTTTGATGTATTTGAATGATACTTTGACATTTCCATGGTTGTGAGTGCAAACCTGAGGATGTGACTGAAGGCCCAGGAAATGCTCCCGCAGTGTGGCTCGGTTTCCAGGGAGACCTGTGGGAACTGGAAGCAAACTGCTCCCGGAGAGGTTAGTTAGGGCAGTGCCAAGTAGTGCATGAGGTGCAGACTGGTACCACTGGAGACTTATCAGTTCCTGTCGAGATGAGTTCAGAAATGGAGAGGAAACAGAAATTTTATGGTAATTTGACAGAGTATGTTTGTATCTATTGAATTTAATTTTTAAAAATGGTCTTGTATTATGTATATATTTTATTTCATCTTCTAGTAAGTCATTCTTAACTGCAGTTTACAAAAGTTATCTGAAATAGATTAGCAAAAGAACAAAACAAAACAGGTACTTCATCACAGATAGTTTGCAAAGCATTGAGCGTCTCTTAGACGTGTGAGTCATCTGGAAATGAATATATGAATCTGAGGATTATCTAGAAATAGTTGGCCCTGTGGCTGGCCACAGTCTAGGCAATAATAAGGCTTATCTGACTCTATGAAATACACATTCTGTTTTATAGCTAAACATTAAAAATGTCTATTTTAGAAAAAACTAACAAGGGACTGACTGCACTCCACTACTATTGCAATGAAAAGTACTCTTCCATCTGCAGGTTTGTGGGCATGAGCCTGGAGTGCAAACTTTGGCCGCCCTGATTGTGGCACAGTGCTTTCTACCTGAGAGAGATAAAAACATTTTTATTGAACTCAATTGATTTCTCCTGAGAGTTAGCAGAAACTACATAGTTCACTAAATAAAGTCCAGAAGATTAAAGTAATTTGGAAAGGTAAAATTTGAAAGGTTATTCATCTTACAGCTGCCACCAAATGTTATCTTCCTTGTTCTGCTTTATTAGATCTTTGCCAAACAGAACCCTGAGAATATGTTACTAAGGTGCCATTATGGCGGTGGTAGATTTATGAGATCCTAAATTTGTTGTTGTTATTTTCATCAGTTCAGATTTTAATAAGTTCCTTGGTATAAATCCTGTAAGTGATTATAACTCCATCTCAATCCTACAATTACCTAAAGAAATTACCCTGGAAATCTATTGTTTTAAATATTTTTACTGATTTCAGAGAGGAAGGGAGAGGGAGAGAGAGATATAAAACATCAATGATGAAAGAGATTGATCGGCTGCCTCCTGCACGCCCCCTACTGGGGATCGAGCCTGCAACCCAGGTATGTGCCCTTGACTGGAATCGAACCCAGGACCCTTCAGTCCATAGGCTGGTGCTCTATCCACTGAGCCAAACCATCTAGGGCTGGAAATCTATTTTTTACAGTAGATGTTAATATACTATCATATCTTCCTTATACTTTTACACTGTACTTCAAAACATTTTGAAAAAAATTGGTCAGTATAAAAAGAAAATAATCAGCCATATGGAAATAATAGCACTGTCCTATTATTAACTTTCATGTTAGATTTGTGAAATTGAAATATAATTATGAATAACAAAATAAACACATGTATTATACAGCAGAGTATGCCATGCTGTGCTTTTGACACAATGGAAACAATTACTAATAAAATAAGGTGTTTTATTTGGAAGAGAGAATTTGCTCTTGGCAGTGGCTTTCCAATTTTGCCAACTTTAAAAGTGACTACGTTGGGGGATGAAATAGCTATGGAAAAATGTATACAATCTTTATTCTTTGAACACATACATTGTCAAAGTTTCTTTATGCAAAAGTTAAGCAGGCCCCAGATCACTGAAGTATCCCTTTCTGAGAGGGAAGCAGTAGAATGTTTTCTTCACTTAGCTTATCACTTTCATTAGGCAATTTCATGTTAACCCCAAATCACTGGTTCTGTCTTTACTGCTCTGCCCTTATTTTTATTAAATGTAGATTTGAATAAGTCTGTGGGAAATTTACCATGTATAGTATTTTGTATTTGTCAATGTTTCATTTAAGTGTGCTATCTTTTCTTTTCTTTCTTTTTTTTTTAAAATATATTTTATTGATTTTTTACAGAGAAGAAGGGAGAGGGATAGAAAGTCAGAAACATCGATGAGAGAGATCGATCAGCTGCCTCCTGCACGCCCCACAGTGGGGACGTGCCTGCAACCAAGGTACATGCCCTTGACCGGAATCGAACCCGGGACCCTTGAATCCGCAGGCCGACGCTCTATCCACTGAGCCAAACCGGTTCGGCAAGTGTGCTATATTTTCACATGTTCTGTTTCCCAGCTAGTGCATTGGCTAGTACATTGTAAGGGTCTGCTCCACTTTCTTTATTTTCCAGTTTCTCCCTCAGAGGTTGTAGCACTTTGCGTAGCTTATAGTGAGGATTCAGTGTTGACTGACTGAAAAAGATGTGAAGATCTACATATAATCTATTGATAGCAGAATTCGAGAATAATATTGGCATGTTTTAAAGCATCTTAGTGTAAGCATAACATTTATGTTTGTTTGTTTTGCAGGAAGATTCTTTGGCAACAGATAATTTCCTTGTGGACTACTTTAATGAATTCCTAAGCCTTCCAGTGAGTGTATTATTATTTCTATTGAATATATTATCAAAGCAAAACATTGTAATCACTGGGTTATCTTGTAAGACAGATTTATCAGGGATAATATTTTTAAATATTAAAAATATTTAAACTGTGGCTCAGTTGGTTGGAGCTTTGCCCCGTGGTCCTGTGCACAGAAAGGTTGCGGGTTCCATCCCCGTCAGGGTGTTGTGGGTTTGACCCCTGGTTAGGGCACAGGGCGGGCAGCCGATTGATGTCCCTTTCTCCCTCTCTCTCTTTCCTTTCCTCTCTCTAAAATCTATAAACATATCCTTGGGTAAGGATTTAAAAGTATATATATTAATTAAAGCATTTACATAGGTTTGTATCTTTTTATGGAGATAATAATTTGGGTTTGAATCATATTTAGGAATTATTTGTATTGAAGAAAGGTAGAGTTTTTCTAATCATCAAAAAAGTTCTGTACTAAATCTGATACATTTATACTTGGCACCGTTTTAGGTTTTGAACAGAGGTGATAGGGATAGAATAACAAAAAATGTAAGAAGCCCAGCCAGTATGGCTCAGTGGTTGAGCATTGACCCATGAACTGGGGGGTCACAGTTCTATTCCCAGTCAGGGCACATGTTTGGGTTGCAGACTTGATCCCCAGTGTGAGGTGTGCAGAAGGCAGCCAATCAATGATGTTTCTCTCCCTCTCCCTCTCCCTCTCCCTCTCCCTCTCCCTCTCCCTCTCCCTCTCCCTCTCCCTCTCCCTCTCCCTCTCCCTCTCCCTCTCCCTCTCCCTCTCCCTCTCCCTCTCCCTCTCTCTCTCTCTCTCTCTCTCTTCATCTCTGAAATCAATATGAAATCAAAATATATACTCATATATATATATATGAATCCTATGAAAAGAGTAGTGGGGAAGGATATGGACTCAGCCAGGAGGGGTGAAGGGCTCCACTATTTATCAGGTTTTGTGATCTTACCTCTCAAGAAGGTCACACTTTAAATAATTATTTTCAAGACAACAATTATATCTCAATAAAGCTGTTTAAAACTAAAAAAAAAAAAATCTCTGTATTGGGTCTGATTTCAGTTTCTCAAGATTTACATTTCATTGTCTCAAGATTTATTATCTTGATTTTTCACTTGCTTCAGAAAATAAATTCCCCTGCCTACCTTCCTTTTTAAAAAAGTCTAACTTTAAAAATGTCAGAAGCAATATAACAGTAGTGTAGAAAATTTACCTAAAACATGAGAAAGAAAATCAGCCATAGTCCTGCCGTCCAGTTAGAATACATGTTACCATTTTTTGTATGTTTTCTTTCAGGCTTTATGTGAAATCACAGATTTCTGTTGAGCTCTGTGCATTCATGGTTTTCATCCCACTCCAACTGATACCTTTATCTCTAGCTTTCATATATTTCATGCAGCCCACCTGTACTGCTTTTGCTTTCCCTCCCTCTTTGCAACTACATTTGGTACCACACAGTCTTTCTATTAACTCCCCATGCTTCACAACACAAGAGGCGAGAAGGGGAAATGTCACAGGTTTCCAAAAGGAACTGAGGAAGAGAAGGAATGATGAATTCTGAACCAAGTTCCTGGCAAGATTCTCGAACAGATTAGTAATGTTTGGTTTATCAGTGCTTAGCTAAGAATTAGAAGCTAGCATGGGTTTACTGAAAATAAATATGCCAAACTAATTTCTTTTGGGGGGTATAGTTATGGATAGGTATGTTCAGGCACCATAAATGTAATGTATTATGATTTCATTAAATAATAATAATAATAATTGAATCATGTTACCTCTGGCTCAAAATTCTGTTTAGTGTCTTCTCATTACACTAAGAATGAAATCCAAAATCCTGTATGATCTGGCTATTGGCATCTCTTGAACTTTATTTCCTACTCGTTTCCTTCTTGATAGTTCTTTTCCAGCCTAACTGGCCTCCTTTACGTTTCCCAAACTGGAATATGCCAGCGTACTTAGGGCTTTTCAGCCTGGAATACTCTTCCCTCAGATATGTGTATCACTTCCTTCCTGACTTAAATCACTCCTGTTCAGAAAACTTTCCCTCCCAACTCCGTCTAAAACAATATACCCAACACACGCTCCAACGCATGCTGCTTTCTAAAACATCTCTAAAGCCCTGATTATTGTCTCTGAGATTAGTTTTCAAATATTTGGATGGCTCACTAACCATAGCCAGTAGGGGTTGACTCTCAATAGCCTACAGATTGAAGTCCAAATTCCTATGTACGGAATTCAAGACCTTTTCCAATTTGGCCTCGACCTAACTTTTCTAGCTTTATCTCTAGCTTTGTAGACTTGTGCCTAACAATCATTCTGCTTCCCCTGACCCTCACCCCCCTTAACCAGTATGCTTTCTGTGCTCGTCTCCCAGTGCAGTGGGTAGTAACAGGAGTGAGGCAGAACTGTGTTTCAGCCCAGCTCCTCCACTCATCACCCTTGTGATCTTAGACACATTTCTTATTTCCTCAATTTCTTGATTTTTCCCCTCCGTGAAAGCAATAGAACTATCTTACCTTTTGTTGTGAAATGAGGTGATATATATAAAGTGCCTGGGCCAGAACTGGTACTTCTCTTTCCTTTTCCTTCATAGCTAGGCCATCTCATTCTCTATTCCTGGAACATGAGGGTCAGTCACTCTTTAATTAGATGGGCGAATCTTTATTAATCTAGAGGACAACCTGTGCCACGCCAATCTGTCACTGGCTTTCACTTTGAAAAATCAGACTTGAATGAAAGATTGCAGTGAACCAGTGTTTTTTTCCAATTTCAGGTCACTGAGCTAGTAAATGGCTGTCCACCCAGGTCCACGTGGCTCAGAAGCTTGCCCTCCTGCCCTTTAATGACTCTAGAACTGGCAACAGAGGGATTCACGGATAGTGTGGGTCACCATCTGTTGCAGAATCTGGCCTCATTTTTATCATGGTCCTCTGAAATGGGCTAAAACAAACAAAGCTAATGGGTTTGTAGGGTGCGTTAATGAAAGTATAGTTAAGATCAAGAAAAATATTAGTCTGGAGCACGGAGTGAATTTTTTTTTTTTTTAAATTGCATATAACTGTCAGCCCACATTTGGAATATCGTGTTCCGTTCGTGGTGCCATATACTGAGTTGTCCTGCCAAACTGGCCTCGGGTAGACGCAGCTAATGAATGCTCTGGAGACCACGGTAGGTGAGGACGGGTTGAGAGAAGTGTGGGTATTGAACCTGGCTGGGGAATGCACAGGGGCTTGGAATGGAGCAGCTCTTTCCACACATTTGAGGATCTGCTTGAGGAAGAGGAGGTGACATAGTCTATGAAGCTAGAGGGCAGAACCACGGCCTCCAGCATTTCCGAGGAGATTGGTTTGTCCTCACTAGAAGAAAGACGCCTACAGTTGGTTTTCTAACAAGAGAATGGGTTGGCTTGTGAAGGAGTGAACGCCCCGTGACCGGAGGTGGTCAGGTGCAGGTGAGGAAACCACCTGGGGAGATATCTTACAGGGCACTCAGGGATCGGGTGGCAGATTAGACTTCTCTAACTAAAGAGCGTGCGATTAATTCCTTCTCTTTACTTTCTCTCGGGGGCTACATTGTAAATTTCCTGAGACCAAGGATGGGTCTCTTGCTTCTGTATCTCCCAGAGCTGCTTCAGGATGATTGTTTTTATTTCTACATCTCCCATGTAAGATACTTGAAATAAATAAGTCTTCTGTAAAAACATTTTTTTATGTTAGAGGGGAGAAATAAATAAGCCTTCTAATGTTCTGTTCTTCTGCCTCCCCTCCTCTACCACCCCCTCCCAGTACGCCCCTACAATCGAAGCCTTTAGATTCTCAATCTAAAATCCTAGGTCATCTAGATTTCTGATACTTCTGTATCAGAAGATGACATGCCCAAGGTCCCATTGAGACAGGCTAGTGAGCCAGGACAAGCCGACTAGGGAAACCGAGACAGATAGTTGAACAGCAGTTGAGCCATCTAGTTAATACTACCTTCCCTAAGCCAGGGACACTTAAGAGTAAATGGTTTGCATTTCTCCTCCCAGCCACCCTACTCAGGGAGACAGATACAAAAATCCAATCAGTGCCATTTGCCAACCACACTGAAGGACAATGAAGTTAGAGAATAAACCTCATTTTGGTCCATCAGCATAAAGCTGATGAATATTCTGTTGAGATCCTCTCCTAAGACCTTCCTTAACCGTTCATCCTTTAAAATCCCTCAAAACGAAGGTCCCAGCGCCTGCTCTCTCTCCCAGGAGCATGCCTGCTTCTCTCCGCCCCTTCTTCCCCCACAGGCATGCACCTCCTAAACTCTAAGGGACCCCAGGAGGCCTGCAACCAGAGCAGCCATGGGCAGTGACAGTTCATCCCTGGCAAACCCCCTGAGCCTGAACCCCCTTTTCTCTGACTTCTTAGCCAAAGCAGCCTGGCCTGGGCTCACTTCCCAGCCCTTCCTTGTTTCACGTTCCCAGCTTAAACAAGCATCCTCTAAACTCACCTGGCCCTGTATTGTGAAATCTTTTCTGCATGAAGTCAAGCACCCACACCCTACCGGCCAGCCCTAGGCAGACCCGCTCAGGGCCGGGTCCCGTCTCTGGTACCACCGTAACTGGATGGTGGCAGACATGGGCCTGGGAATCAGGCTCGCCACCTCCTACGCTGTTTCTTTCCATTACGCCATGGCACCCTTGGGACGCACTGTGAGATCCAGAATTGATGGCTGGTAGCCTGCCTCCACGTTATTTTCTCGACGAGGGGAATCCAGGACAGTTGCTGCGATTATAAATAATTATGGCACTTTCCAAATCCCAGCTTTCATAACTCTGTTCTGTTTGTTCTGGCGCCAGGTTCACATTCAGATATTGTTTTCATGTGGTGTCTGGGAGGTTTCTTGCTGTCAACTCTTTATGGACAAGTGTTTGCTTCTTAAGTTTTCTTCTGGGCTATAGTGTGAAAACATTTTTTTTCCCCTCTTGGTTTTATTTTGTGTGTTTTATGCTCAGTGACTGTTG